AAAATCTGAAGTGCCCCCCCCCCCTCCCCCCGGCGGAAATTTCTGAAAGAAACACTGCAGGCCTCATACAGCTGTCCACTTGAGGAGCATGGATTCTCAAAATTTTGTGCACACACCTCACACCTTGTAGCGATTGCTCCACCCTTGCAGTAGCTCTATTTGAAATTATATTTATATAGCTCACATAAACATTTTTAAAAAATAAGGCCCTCGGCCCCAAACGCCAAATTGTAAAATGATTGTACTAATTCAGAAACCGAATTATTATGTCACATAAACAGAAATGTCGCTTGTATTTTATTCCATTCCAACCACCCATGCAATAGCTCTGTTTGAAATTATATTTGTATAGATCCAGAAGAAAAATAATAATAATTTAGGGCTCTCGGCCCAAAAGGAATAATTCAAAATGGATAGCGTAATTCAGAAACTGTTGCGTGCGTGTGCACAACAATTTACCCAAATTTTATCGCAATCGGAAGAATGGTATAGGAAAGCATATGGAAATTAAATTTAGCTCATGACAGAAAAAAAAAAGAATTTAGGGCCTTGGGCCCAAAACGGAATATTGTAAAATGTATGTGATGATTCAGAAAAAATTTGCGGGTGCATACACAACAACTCACAAAAGTTTTATCGCAATCGGATGAATGGTATAGGAGCGCATACGGGACATACATATATAAATTAATTTTTTTATATGTATAGATACAGTTTATCGTATAAAAGATACCTTTTGCGCAACTATTCAAGGAAGCGTTCTGTCTACCATCCATCCATCCATCCATCCATCCATCCATCCATCCATCCATCCATCCATCCATCCATCCATCCATCCATCCATCCATCCATCCATCCATCCAATCCATCCATCCATCCATCCATCCATCCATCCATCCATCCATCCATCCATTGGTTTGGGGGCTGCATTCAAGCTGAGAGTAGGGTATTATATTTTAAGGCAAAAAAAAAAGTGTTCACGTTACTCCACTTACATCATTGGCTCGCTTTACAAGCACGCATTGATTACAAACTGTCTGTTCTCTGTCACAAATTTTTTTCTGGTTCCTGCCAGGGGCGTCATTTCAGTTTTTTTCAGGTTGGGGGGGGGGGGGTAAGACCAAAGCTTTTTCGGCTTGTTAAGTTGTTTATTACTGGAGGAACCACAGTACACAGCAATTGAAATAAAATCTGCAAATTCAGGGGGAGATGAATAAATACCCCACCCTGTCCTACCCAAATGACGTCCCTGGTTCCTGCCCTTCTTACCTAAACGAACTTCTTTCTGTCTATTCACCCCATTGACAGCTTCGTTCCTTCACAGACATGCGTATTCTTTCTGTTCTCAAAACACGCACTAAAACATACTGTGAACGATTTTTCTTTTTCTGTGACCCAAAACAATGGAATTCTCTCCTTTTATACATCCGCAATATACCGACCATCCAGGCCTTCAAAACTGCACTCAAGAAACATCTCTTCAAACTCTACTATCCGCACTCATTCTCACCCCCTCTGACAGTGTGCTCAGTACGCAGGCCTGGTACACCTGCAGCTTAGTTCTTGTTGTGAGTTTGGCGTTTGACCAGACTATTTTCTTCAGTCTGGCCATAACAATTGCGGCCTTCCCTATCCTTCCACTTATCTCATCCTCCATTGAGAGGGTGCTCGATATGTTGGATCCCAGATATGTGAATCTGTCAACAGTATCCAAGTCGTAGTCGTCGATGGCGATAGCGGGGAGGGAGTCAGCGCCCTGTGCCATAATGTTAGTTTTCTTTAGGCTAATTGTCAGGCAGGCAGCGGATAGACTGGATACGAGGCTCTGCAGGCCGTCTGCTGTGTGAGATACCAAAGCGGCATCGTCCACAAACAAGAACTCCCGCAGCAAGACCTTTCTTGTTTAAATCTTAGCTCTAAGGCGGGCAATGTTGAATAATTTGCCTTCATCTCTAGTGTGGATGTATATCCCCTCACTGTTGTTCTGAAAGGCATACTGGAGAAGGACGGAGAAGAAGATTGTAAATAAAGTAGGAGCCAGCACGCAACCTTACTTTACTCCACTACTCACTGGAAAAGCTTCTGAGGCAACACCGCTATAGCACACTGTGCCCTGCATGTTTTCGTGGAACTGCTTGATGATGTTCAGCAGTCGTGTAGGGCAGCCTATCTTTTTGAGGATCTGAAACAGGCCGCTTCTGCTGACAACATCAAAAGCCTTAGTGAAGTCGACAAACGCAATGTATAAAGGCATATGTTGCACTTCTCCTGCAGCTGGCGCAGAGAGAAGATCATGTCTATGGTTGACCTACCGGCGCGAAAACCACATTGCCATTCTGGG